TTTCACTAGGATTTTTTTATAATTCCACCAAGTATTCAACAACTTGCAATCCACCATTAACCTGAGTCTGCATCAGTTCATATAGCATTGTAAGTATTTGGTGGATTTATACCTGAAACCCAGCCGCTACTACATATATGCTTCCAACACCTACCTAGATTATACCACATGATCCATTGTCTACCTACCCAATAATACAACTGTATTTGTTCCAATTCCTTGGATAGGAATTCAAACATGAAGAGTTTACATTATGAATTTTTGCAGTGAAGAAACAGACTGATAAATCTGGTACCCAAGACAAACAGCAGATCATGATTTATCACGTACACTTCACAATAAAAACAGCTCTGATGCACTAGCAGTCATCTATAGCCTACCCAGTACAATGGCACTTTTCAATGATGCAAGTATCACAGTTATTTATGCTCTCCTTAATTCCAAACCACTCCCCCCATCTAAAACTACTACTTATTGGAAGCAACAGACCATCTCACAGACACAGATTCAGAAACTGAACCCTGCAATAACACAAGAGAATAAATGACATGGACAACATTTTTTTTTACTAGATTCAAAAAATCGTGGGAGAATATTTCAGTCTGCCAGAATGCTCTGCTGCTGACCTCATCCATTAATAAAAACACTACAAACAACAGCAATAACAGTATAAGGAAGGGGTGTCAAACTTCAGGCCAGAAGTTGCCCACCTATGGTTTCAATCGGGCCTGCTGGCTCTTTTCTCCCCCCCTCCCCCTCCTGGCCTCACCCTTTGAAGCTTGAGGCTGCCAAAGTTCCCAGCTCCCCCCATCTTGTCTTTCCCTGCTTTAGCAGGAAGCTCTTCTGGGAATGGATTTTTCCATTAAGAAAATACAGAATGGATTTTTCCATTAAGGTCCCTGCACTAGGGTTGCCAGGTCCATCTTCTCCCCCAGCAGGGGACTTTGCGAGGGCATTCCCAGAGGGGTTGGGGCATTCCCAATGTGATGACATCACACTAGGAATGTCACATTGAGAATGTCCTGGCTCCAAGCCCTGCCCCCGTGGGCCCTTTACAAAGCACCTTTCCCCATCAAACTGATGTTCACCTGCAATTCCCCCATCATTCAATTTGCCATGTTTTCTGTCCTGTGTATACCTCATAAACATGGTTCAGGAGAAAAGTGGTTGGTAGAGCGGAGATTAAGCAACCACTGCCCTTCTCAGCTTCTCACTGCTAAGCATGCCATCTCCCAGTGTGTTTTGTAAAGAAGAATGGGATGTCATACTAACATAACATGCAGTTGTTGTTGATTGTATTGTGATCCTAAGTGTAAATAGGGATTTACATGACCTTGGTGCTAAGCTAAGCATCATTGCTAGAAAGTAGGTACAATTCATCTTAGTAGAGCTTTCTCTATAAACTTGTACAGGTTGGGGTAAATGCCTGGCAAAAGGCTGCTGCTTTAGGTTCCATGGTACTCATCAGTAATTGCATTATAGCAATCAATTTTGCTTTGCAGGATTAGACTGCCTGGCTGCTGCTCATACTGTTCATATTCCTTTGTGGGACAAAAGGAATTTGTGCCAACACACTGGGTATAAAAGACAGCACTGTGCATACCCAAAAAAATGAACAGTTTTGCTCTCTCCTGAGCTTCAAAGTACTTTGAATGAGTTTGAGTAATAATAAAGCATTATAGGAAAGCAAATTCTTGCTTTTTAGGGCAGTGATATCATCTATAGATTGAATAGAAATATATGTACGATTGCCCGATTTAGTATACTAACCCAATGAGATTGCATAGCTGTTTCCCTGTGCTCCCACTAGTGAGTGAAATTGCTTGCCTCTGGAGAATGAATGCATGCTGGGAAATGGCTACGCCACATGGAACTTTCCAGTATTTATGTAGTTGTAAACCAGCACATGAAAATGAAGTGCAGCAACCTTCCTGCAGCAGCAATATGACGATCACCAATAATATTAATAGTGAAAAAAGCAGCAAAAGCTGAGCATGGAGTGAAAAGGTGCTATAGCTTTTTTTCACTACTCCCTAATTCTTAGTTCACAGCTGGGTTGGAGGAGATTGTAAAGAAGCCTCTCGTGACCATTTAAATTACACCCATGAAAAAAGAGGCCGAGAAACTAAACCAATCAAGCAAGAGCCAAAACCTCCAAAGGAAGTTTAGAAAATTAGTAAGGGACCAAAAGTTAAAAACACCAATAATTATAGACAAAAGTATATGTGTTTATTTCAAAAACAGTTAAAAACCTTGTAGGGGGCCATATAAAGCCTCATAATGTAATCAAAGTGACAAATACACAAAAGGAACCATATATGACCTGACACATTTTGGCCCCAAAAGAGCCTTCTTCAGAGGTCAAATAGTACCGAATACAACATACAACAAAGCCCCTGTTACACTTGTAAGGCAGTAAACAATTGATATAGGACCCAAACAGGAATTGAAACTGCTAGCTTGGCAGGAGCTGGGGCCAGAGACAGGAGCTCACTCCGTCATGTGGCACTAGGGTCTCAAACTGCTGAACTATAGACCTGCAATACCAAGTCATAAATGGAAGTTGGAAAACTTCAGTGCCTGCCCATGGAGCAGGTGCTGGCATTTGCCTGCCCCCCCCTCTTCTTGGATGAAGCACGAGGGGTAGCAAACCAATTAGTGCTCAGAGCAGGAGCGCTGACCAATCAAGGACAAGCTCGCCGGCTAAGTCTGGTGGCAGCTGCCCTCCAAGGGCACAAGCTTGAAGGCAGATAGCTTTCTTCGTTCCACCCCTCTGGGGGTGCTTCTCCATTTGTCACCTGGCTGACCTCATGCTGTTTAGGTGCCGGTGCCCATTTCTTCCCTTGGCTTTGTGTGAGGCCTTGCCCAGTGCGGGCCACCAGGCAGCCTCTCCGTCCATCCAGGCACTCATCCCTGGGTGCCTGGCCACCTGTCCCCATCCCATTCAGGCAGTTTTGTGTGCCCTCTGCCCCATGCCAGTCTGACTTCCCCAGACCTCTGCCCCATGCCAGTCTGACTTCCCCAGACCTCTGCCCCATGCTCGTCTGACTCTTTTTGCTAGGGGCTTATGGGCCTTCGCTGCTGACGGCATCTTTGTTGCTGTGGGAAGGGGCCCCTCCATGGAGGTATTTAGCAGGCCACAGGCAGGATTGGGAAGGGGTCGAGGAGCATAGGGTCAGTAGCTCAGCACGCCCTTTTACCTTAAAGGATTTTGGCCGGGGACCTGGGGAAACTGCTGCTAGTCTGAGGAGAGGATGCTGACTGGCAAACCAACCCTCTGATTCGGTATAAGGCAGCTTCATGTGTGCTTTACCTATTCTTCAGGGCAGCAGTTCACTAGGAACTTTCCCCAGTAAGTTATAGGACTTTGCTCCCTAGCATCACTATGGTGAGAGACCGGACCCCGGGGGGGGGGGCATGAGGGACTTCTTCCTGAAACCCCGGAGTGCAGCTGCCAGTATAAAGGGTGTTACAGACCATGATGGACTGTGGGGTCTGCTTCAGTTTAAGGTGAAGCCTCCCTCCCTGGCCTATTCCAACACAGGGTTGCAGTACTTTCTGAGAGGCAGTCACAGCACCCAGACTCTAAAAACCACACAGGTGCAGGATTGTGACGTGCCAGTTTAGAGGCATTTCAGTTTAAGAAACCAGTTTGTAATCATGCATATCATCAGCCTTGACTATAGTAGGGTGCAGTTCAGACAAAGCACATGGTAATGGGATGAGTATGGTATCGGGGAATGATGAGTGAGGTGTTTATTTAAGAACAAGGAGACATTACTAACTGTTTTCAAATAATTAAAATCAGGTGAATGGGTTTGCTTCAATTGCGCTGTGCTATAAGCTTCTACTTCTGATAGAAGGGGCAAATTTATAAACTGTACAACATTTATTAAGTTAGCAACATGAATTGCCTTCCAACCAAGCTGGTCAAAATGATGCACAGAAAAACTGAAACCACCACTCTAAAACAAACAGGAAACTTTAAAACAAAATGCAGTGGGGAAACAACAACAACAACAACAACACAGCCTAATACACCTGTTAAGTCCGTGCTTAACAATGATAGTCAGAGAGTGATTCAGCAAAACTCAAGTTTATTCAGCTCTTCAATCGACTTCTTCTGACACGTACAACTCCTCATAGCCCGAACAGCTTGTCCATTTCAGCTGCTCGGTATTTAAACATTCCGGGCTAATGTAGCCACACCTACTGTACATTAAACCAACCTATGAGGTTGTTCGCATGAACGACCAATCATAAGCGGTCCCGCTTACATACATTCAAATCTGATTGGCCACAATACTTTTCGGCGCGAATCCCTGCCGAAGCTTGAAGCTTTGCATGGCTTCTCTATGGGAGGATTCACATACCTCCTAATGCATTCAGGGCAGCATCTGAATACATTACAAATCCCTCCCCCCTAAGCAAAAACAACTACGAACAATCATAATCACTTAGGTAGGAAGGTGCTCTTCTCGTTCTCTGAGACCTCCTAGGTGGACTAGGCTCAGGGCACATCTCCGTCAGTGGCACTTCGTTCAACTCTGGGACCGCAGAGTCAGGAACACTTCCATCCGTTACGTTCGGTTCGAGAGTAGGGGTCTGCCCTGCCTCTGGAACAGTGCTGATGCCCTCAGGCCCGTCAGCACTCGCCTCCAGGGGAGGTCTCGGAAGGTCCTCGGGGTCTATTGACTCAGTTGGCAACGCGTTGGGTCGGTCAGTCGCCCACCGTTGCCTCAACTGGTCTATGTGCCTACGCCACTTGCGACCATCAGCAAGTCGTACCACATACATTCTGGACCCAACAGTTTCAACAATAGTGGCTGGGAGCCACAAGTGACCACTGGCATAATTCCTCGCATACACCTTGTCATCTTTCTCATATATGCGTACCTTCGTTTGTTCACTCTGCTGTGGTGGCTTAAGGTCATTCAGGTCCGGGTGCAACCTATCTAATAGGGTTGCCAGCCTCCGGCCCATCAGCATTTCGGCCGGACTGCGGCCAGTTGCTGAACAAGGGGTAACATGCTGTCTGAGCAAGAACGAAGCTAGCTTTACCCCCCAGTCACCATAAACCAATTTACTCAGTGCTTCTTTGGTGGTTCTTACCATTCTTTCCGCCTGGCCATTCGAAGCCGGGTGGAATGGGGCCGATGTAATCTGCCTGATTCCGTTATCAGCCAGAAATTTTTCAAACTCCATAGATGTAAATTGCGTCCCGTTATCACTGACCAATACATCGGGTATACCATGGGTCGCAAACAGGCGCCGCAGCACATTGATGACAGACCCGGAAGTGGTGGAATGCATGTGCGCAACCTCCAACCATTTCGTATACGCATCAACAATAATAAGGAACATTTGTCCCTGAACTGGCCCCGCAAAATCTAGGTGGAGCCTCGACCAAGGTTTTCCCGCCGACTCCCAACGCTGCGGAGTGGCGGTTGACGGCTCAGGCCTAGCCTGCTGACAGGGCTCACACACTCTGACCCAATCCTCGATTTCCGCATCAAGCCCGGGCCACCACACATAACCACGGGCCAGTGCCTTCATGTGGACCATGCCTGGATGGCCCTCATGGAGTGATTTCAGCACTTTTTGTCTGAGGCAGTGAGGCACCACCACCCGGTTTCCCCACAGTAAACAGCCCTTAGACACAGACAGCTCGTTTTGGCGCGCTTTGTACATGCGAAATTCCGGCTCCATAGCACCCATCGGCCACCCCCTCCAAACCCAGTTAAGAACTCTCGCAATTACACTGTCCTTAGCCGACGCAGCGGCAATGTCCTTGGAGGTGATGGGTGCTTGCGGCAGTTCTTCGATGGCCAACACAGAGGCCGTTGGCGCAGGGTCCAAATCTCGGCCGGGCAGCGGGCAACGACTTAATGCGTCCGCATGTCCGATGGCCTTGCCCGGCCGGTGCTCCAGGTCATAGTCATAGGCCGACAAAAACAAGGCCCAACGGAGCATTCTGGCAGACATTATGCTTGGGAGTTGCCGGTCCGGGGCAAAGATCCCAAGCAGCGGCTTGTGGTCCGTCACAAGTAGGAAATGTCTGCCATACAAGAAATCGTGGAATTTCTTTACTGCAGAAACGAGCGCCAGTCCCTCTTTATCGATCTGGGCATAGTTCTTTTCAGTTTCACTCAGTGACTTTGAATAAAACGCGACGGGGGCCTCCCGCCCGTCTTCCATTACATGACTTAATACCGCCCCCACCCCATAAGGAGAGGCATCTGCGGCCAAGACCAACAATTTCTGGTCATCGTAATGGGTCAACACTGCATTTGATGACAACAACGATTTCACCCCTTCAAACGCCTTTTTTTGTTCAGCACCCCACCGCCATTTTGCGTCCTTGTGAAGGAGCGCATGTAAAGGTGCCGCCACGGACGCCTTGTGGGGGAGAAAGGCGTGATAAAAATTGAGCAGCCCGAGGAAGGCTTGCAGCTCTTTTTTATTCACGGGGCAAGGGGCATTTTTTATAGCTCTCACCTTCTCGTCTGTGGGGTGTACGCCATTTTGGTCCACTCTGAACCCCAGGAATTCCACGCTATCCACCCCTATCAAACATTTGGATTGTTTTACTTTCAATCCGGCCTTACGGAAACGCTTGAGCACTTCTCTGAGTGCATAAGTTCCTCATCGGATCTTCCAGCAATGAGAACGTCATCAAAATAAGGGACCGTTCCTGGTACCCCCCTCAACAGCCCTTCCATGAGACTCTGAAAAATCCCTGGGGCCACATTCACACCAAATTGGAGCCTGTTTACTTTGAACGCCCCCCTGTGTGTCACAATGGTCTGTGCTTCAGCAGCTTCCTTGGTCACGGGAAGCTGCTGGTCAGCCTGGGCCAAGTCGAACTTCGCAAAGACTTTTCCCCCCCCCAACGATGCCCAGACATGGCTAATTACCGGTACTGGGTACGAGTGCTGTTGCAATGCCCGATTTATGGTGCATTTGTAGTCAGCACAGATGCGTACTGACCCGTCCGGCTTAACAGGGGTTACAATGGGGGTCTCCCACCGACTGAAGGGAACTGGCTCTAACACGCCCTGCTCGATGAGCTTGTCCAGCTCTGCTTCGATTCTGGGCTTAAGAGGAATGGGAACCTTCCTATACTTGAGGCGAACCGGCCTCACGGCAGGATCAAGTTCAAACGCTACTGGGGGTCCCGTATATTTTCCCAGGCCACCCCCAAACACATCAGTAAATTCCTTATACAGTACAGCCCATTTATTCTTCGTTACACTATTAATGCCAGAAATAGCAATTCCCAACGGTTCAAACCAGTCAAGCCCCAGCAAATTCACTCTGTTCCCCTCAGCCACCAACAATGAAAGGGTCGCCCGCTTCCCCTTAAACTCAACTTCAAACGTATCCCTCCCTGCCAGAGGTATACGCTTGCCCTGGAAGTCGGACACTTGTGTGTCTGCTGGCTTCAGCCGGCGACGACTCCTGGTGGGGAACAACTGCTGCCATGACTTGGACGAAATTACGGTCACCGACGATCCCGAGTCGACCTCCATGCCACACGGAACGCCGTCTAGATGGACCGTCACGTTGATCTTGCCGGTGCCTCCGATTCGTTGGACCGAAGGTGCGCTTGATCGTACGACCTGGCAGCTGGTTTCATGCTGTGTGGCTCGGGAACGTTGCTTCCTGGGCTTGTTTGAGGGCGTTGAAACTTTTGGCGCTCTGCAAGCACGAGCGATGTGGCCCCGCCTTCCGCATGCTCTGCAGTCGACGTCCTTGGTCCAGCAGCTTTCTCTGGAGTGCTTGCCGCCACAGCCGGTGCAAGGAGGAGTGGGCGAAGTCCTCACTTGGGTCCGCTGGTTCGCAGGCCCTTTCACAGCGCAGACGTCTTCAGCCGCGCCCTCACGCTCTCCTTCGGACCCCTGGTGGTGAACGCGTAGCTCTGTTGCAGCCAGACGCTGACGCACCTCACGGGTCGATTTGTCCGCTGTCTCCGCTGCGATGGCTTCATTGTAGGCGTCGGCCCAGGTCAGTTTCGCCGTTGCGAACAGGCGCTGCTGCAGACGCTCGTCCCGCATGCCACACACCAGCCTGTCTCGCAGGGCCTCCTCTACGTCGGCGAAGTTACACGGTCTGGCCGCTTTACGTAGAGCCGCTACAAAATCGGACACGGTCTCGTTGGGCGCTTGGTTCCTCTTGAAGAACGCGTGCCGGCTAGCGATCTCCGACGGTTGCGGGGAGAAGTGTGCCTTCAACTTCTCCGTCAGCTCTTTGAACGGCACTGTTCCGATGTCCGCTGGTGCCACCAGAGACCTGGCGACATCGAACACGCTCTTGCCACAAGAGCTCAGGAGGGTGGCTCGCTTCTTCTCCTCCGTGGTGATGTCGTTCGCTTCGAGGTGGAACCCGAACCTCAGCAGGTAGGCGTCCCAGTCCTCGGTCGCTGGTTCGAATGCCTCGAACTTCGGGCTATTGGCCATAGCTGCGATAGCTGCCACCGGTGCTGGTGGTGCCTGTCGCTGCTCTGCCACGGCAAGCTGCTGCTCTTGGTTGTCCGTCGTTGGGTCGGGACCAGCGGGGCTGCCTACCCGCTCCTGGATCCCATCCTCGTCGCCAATTGTTAAGTCCGTGCTTAACAATGATAGTCAGAGAGTGATTCAGCAAAACTCAAGTTTATTCAGCTCTTCAATCGACTTCTTCTGACACGTACAACTCCTCATAGCCCGAACAGCTTGTCCATTTCAGCTGCTCGGTATTTAAACATTCCGGGCTAATGTAGCCACATCTACTGTACATTAAACCAACCTATCAGGTTGTTCGCATGAACGACCAATCATAAGCGGTCCCGCTTACATACATTCAAATCTGATTGGCCACAATACTTTTCGGCGCGAATCCCTGCCGAAGCTTGAAGCTTTGCATGGCTTCTCTATGGGAGGATTCACATACCTCCTAATGCATTCAGGGCAGCATCTGAATACATTACAACACCGCTGTGGTTGGGAGGTACCAATAGTCTGATGTGGGCAGGGCAGCACCATGGGTTTAGGAGCAGTTGTTGGAAGGAAAGCGGCTGTCCAGGCAATGGCCATGTCACAGGGGTGGGATGGCTGCTGGCCATGTTAGAAGAGAAGAAGAGGAGATTGGATTTGTACTCTGCCCTTCACTCGGAGTCTCAGAGCGGCTTGCGGGCTCCTTTCCCATCCCCTCCCTGTGGCAGACACCCTTGAGAGAACAGCTCTGACAGGGCTGTGGCTTGCCCAGGGTCATCTGGCAGCTGTGGGTGGAGGAGTGGGGAGTTGGGCCCGGTTCTCCCAGACTGGAGTTTGTGCACTTAACCACTACACCAAACTGCTAGAGGTCCTAGGTGCCATTCCCAACTTACCCAGTTCAAGGGAGCACTGAGGGATACTGCGAGAGACCTCTGCCAGAGACTTGGGAGAGATGTGGTAGGTGCCAGCAGTGTTCCCTCTAAGCTGAGTTAGTGTGAGCTAACTCACAGTTTTATAGCCTCCGGCTCACACATTGTTGTCTTAGCTAGGGAAGGATGGCTTCCCCACAAGAGCAAATTAATTTATGGCAGCAGCCTAATCGCTCGCTCACAACTTTAATGCCAGTAGCTCACAAAGTAGAATTTTTGCTCACAAGACTCCACCCCTTAGAGGGAGCGTTGGGTGCCAGTAGTCGGTGATTTGATAACCTGGGCATACTGCAACTGGACTTGGAAGCTCCTTCCTTCTAGGTTCTGCCTACCAGTCTATTTATCACCCTCAACAGAATCACTCAAATACTGAACAGCTCACTTGCACCATTCATGGCTTGGGCATTTCAGGGTTCAGGTTGCCAACTTTGAGTTGGGAAACTCCTGGAAAACAGCTTCATGGAATAACAGAATCAGAAGGGACCACCTAGTCCGGCGGTCGGCAACCCGCGGCTCCGGAACCGCATGCGGCTCTTTGGAACGTTTGCCGCGGCTCCGGAAGCAGCTTCATGTATCCCAGCAGCCCTTGCGAGTCGCCGAATGACGAAATCTCGCAGCTGCGCTTTGGGATGTCTGCGCGCCGCTCTGCCTCCGCCCCGCCTCCTCTCAGTGAGCTTTACGGGATGTAATGCTTTTAGTCTGATAGGAAGCGGGGCGGAGGCGGGGCGGAGGCGGAGCGGCGCGGAGAGGTTGCATTCCCCAGCAACCGGTACACAGAGTTACCTTGCTCCCCCCCCCCGGGACTCCGGAGGAGGCCTCTGCTGGACGCCCGGCTCGGCCTTCAGTGCAGAGCGTAGGAAGAGGAGGAGCGAGCGGCGCGAAGAGGCGGCCCCGAGGCGCTTTGGCCGTGCGAACCGGCTTGGGCAAGCGCCGTTGCTTGGGAGGGAGGAGGAGGAGGAGCCCCAGCTGCCGGGCGGGCGTCGAGCTGCGCAGAGGAGGGAGAGAGCAGGCGGGGCTGGGCCGGGCTAGCCTCGCCTCGCCTGCCTTTGTCCCTCCTCCGCGGGAGCCCCGCGCAGCCTCGCCTGGGACCGGCGCCAGAGGAGGAGCGATGGGGGCCGGCCGAGGTAAGCGTCCTGCTGCGGCACGGCCGAAGGCGGGGGTGGGGGGTGCGGGGCGCTGTCCAGACAGGCCGGGGGGGCTCGGGGTCCTCTGGCTGCTGGGGAAAGCCGATTGCCGGGTTCCGCCGGTCGCTCGCCTCGGCACGACCCGCGCAGTCCCTGCTGGAGCCCCGGGGAGCCGCTGGTGTCTTCCTTCCTTCCCGGGCTGATCCGGAAGGGTCGGGAGGCTTGGCCGGCTGGCCCGCCCATGACTTCTGGCGCCCGCTCCCAGTGCCGCCGTCGTGTCGTCCCCGTCCCCGAACGTCCGAGCCGGCCGCCGATTTCCCCCCTTGCGGCTCCCTTCGCCTAGCTCCCGGGGTTTTTTTCCGTCGGAAATGGGTCCAAGTGGCTCTTTATGTCTTAAAGGTTGCAGACCCCTGACCTAGTCCAACCACCTGCTCAATGCAGGATCAGCTTACAGCATCCAGCCATGGCTTAAAAACTGCCAGTGAGAGTGAGCTCACCAGTGCCCTAGGCAGCTGATTCCACTGTTGCACAACTCATACTGTAAAAAGTGTTTCCAATATCCAGCTGGTACCTTCTCGCCCTTAGTTTAAATTCATTATTGCGAGTCCTATCCTCTGCTGCCAACAGGAACTGCTCCCTGACCCCCCCCCCCAAGTGCCAGCCCTTCCTGTACTTAATGAGAGCAATTGTCCCCCCCTCAGTCTAGTTCCGGGGCCACGCAAGGGCTAGGAGCACCCTTAGGAGCCAGAGTTGGCCTGGGTTGCCTTGTGGGGGCCTGGATGGCTAGCAGAGGGGTAACTTTGGTACCCACTCCTTGGCATTGGAGTGGCTTTGGCAGCTGCAGGGGGGGGGTCTAGTCCCTCAGAAATGGTGTTGGGCCTTGGGAGGCCATGGGCATATGGTGCTGATGGCAGTCACTGGTGTGGGACCCAGAGGCCACTCCAGGGCTGGGAGCACCCTTAGTGGCTGGAGTTGGACAGGGTGGCCACGCGGGGGCACGGATGGCTAACAGAAGGGTAACTTCGGTACCCACTCCTTGGCATTGGAGCAGATTTGGCAGCTGCAGGCGGGGGTCTGGTCCTGCTGAGATATGGTGTTGGGCCATGAGAGGCAATGGGCATATGGTTCTGAAGGCAGTCACTGGTGCTGGCTGATGTTTTTATTGCTTTTCAGGATGCGGCACATGGATCAGTAGCTCAGCACTGGTGTAACATTTGGCAGGTTCAAGTGATTGTCAGTTGGCAGGAGTGCCTCCCCAGGCCATGGTCGGGCTTTTTGGCGGCAACGATCTGGGCACTAATTTTGGCGGTCCCCACCCCCAGATCAAACCATGGTGCCACATCCATTAAGAGCACAGTGGGGTTACTGGGTTGGTCTTTTGCTGTGCTAATCTGCAAGATGGTCTGTGTAACCAGTGGTTAATGGTTGGTGGGAGGGGAGTTAAGCCAAGGCTAACTCCCTCTGTAGTGGGAAAAGCACAGGTTGAGTGGATTTGGAATTGGCAAGCACCCTGAGATATCAACAATAGGAGGGGTCCTCATACTGGGTGCCTATGGGCTTTGCAGTCGGGGTGACCTCCCCCCCATGCACTGGCATGTGGGCCGTGAAAAGTAAGGTCCGGAAGGATCCCAGACCTGGCTCTGAACCGGGGTGGGTTTGCCCTGTTAGGAGGCTTGCTTTGCAAGCCCAAGGCAACCCGTGCTTTAATGTATCGGTGCAGATCATCTTACATATAAACAGGGCTCTAGTCGGGGGGGAGCTCTCAGGTACGGAGCTCCGGAAGAGAACCTCTAGGGGGCGGGGCGGTCACGTGGTGAAGCCCCGCCCCCTTCTTTACCCCGCCCTCTGCTTCGATCCTCATTCCGTTTGGGAATGAGGATGAAGCAGGAGGGTAAGTAGCCGGGCCTTCTGACACACTTCCGGTGATGTCAGGGGGTGTGGCCTTCTGTCACTTCCGGTGATGTCAGGGGGCGGGGCATATGCAAATAAGTTATGCTAATGAGTTATGCTAATGAGCTCCGGCAGCTCTTTTTCTACAACAAGACCCCTGCATATAAATAAATTCCCAGTTTAACCCATAACTTGTGTTGTATTTCATTCAAGGGGTGGGCGGGCAACTGAACTTACCTTTCTTACAAAAATGGTTTTCTCTTGAGTCAGGCACTCCACTGGATCACTCTGGATTTGTAATCTGGACTTGAATATTCCCATGAATTAATACTGAGTCAGCAAGACAAAATGGGCAGATACAAACAATACAGCTCGCTCGCTCTCCATAAGAAGATCAAATCACTTCTTTCAACAGCCATATGTGCTGGGCAGATGAGTGAATGGAAGCAGCTACAGAAAAAAACAGTGTGCATAAACAAGTGTCTTGCAATAAAATTTAGAACAATTTTGAGCAAAGTCAAGTATTTGAGGAGGATGCTCACCATTTGCGATCAAAATAGGATCAAAACAGAGTGGGGGTGCTAATCTCTGCTTTCAAATCTCATAACACTAGCTTTAAACCCCCGTTTATAATATAGGAATAACAATATTGCTTTCCTTCATGAGGATGTAAAATAATTACTGAGATAACAGATAAGCAGTACTTTACACACTTACAAAATGTTGCTAGCATGTTTAGTATCATAGCATGTAAGGACTAAGGAAGGCAGGAAGGAAGGCGCATTAGTAGAAGTGAAAATGCACACACAGAGAGTAGGCAGGTTATCTGGCTTTCAGAGCCAAGTCTCGTTCATGTGCATTTAAATCCTCCACGCAAGATGGTCCAATGAATGCAGCTGCATGGAGGAAATAATGTATTTGCATGAGTAACAATTTACACAAGTACGGGAGGTTAAAA